GACAAACCACTAATGTAATATATACACTCATTTTAGTTGTGCTTCTTGCCATTAATATTATTATTCCTCACGTTCTCCTATTCTCTCGAGTTAAAATCCTTGTAACTTTTCAAAAGCTAATGCTTCTTTGGTCAAATAACGTTCAGTTCAGTTTGAAAGTTAAAAGTTTATAAGTGGAAGCAACTTTTCTACCACTCCAAAAACTCCATTTAATATTTATTTATTTATTTCAAATGGCAGGTGTTTTGATAGTTATCATTAGCCATTTAGCTGACTTCAGGCTTCACAGAGAGGAGGAGGAACATCAAAGTGACAAAAGGTCGAGAGGGGAGACAGAATAATGATTCACAGATGTGACAGAGACAGACAAAAGAGCAGAGATAAGGTAAGATGAGTACTCTGAAATGGGTTGAATATGGCATACAGTGGGGGTAGTTTGAAGTCAGAAGTCAACTGCCGGTTAATAGACTTTTTGGCGTATGAGTATACGTTGCCCAGGGTGCACCACGTGGAGGTAAGTCTATCGCACACCCCACTCCATCTAATATTGAGAGGGCTCTTTTCCCTGAGTACTCTTCGAGTGTAGATATTTGAAATCGTCTCTTTGAGACCTGCATTAAGTAATCATAAATTCCTTAAAGATAAAGCTAGGTAGCTGTTAATTGATTGCATTAAAATTTGACCACACTTAAGGTTCAAATTTCTCATTCCTTTAGATCAAGCCTCCAGTTAAAGCTCGTATCGCTACTCTTCAACAGTTACTTCCCCGTTTGGGAGACAAAATTCCAGTCGGGCCTACCAGTGGTCTAGACCCCTCTGGTCTAGTGAGCGCTGCCGCAGCTGCAGGGGGAATTCCACCCACTGGAAAACTTCCCACTGTTGACGCCGCTTGGGACCTTCCCATCCCATCGGAACTCACTCAAAGACAAATCCAACTCATGCTCCAAGAGGCCAACAGATCACAATGCTCGGCTTTCAATAACAGTGCAGAGCACTGGTCCGCTCTCCTAAAGAATAATGTTATTAAGTTAGAAGAGGACGAGATGGAGGGGGAGAATGAGAAAGTTGTTGAAGAGATCGATAAAGGGGAAGAAACAGGAGGAGAGAAGGAGACTGGGATAGATAATGCCGGTGAGTCGAAGTCTATAACTTCTTGACCTGAATAATTGGTAGTCTGTTCCACGTCAATTGATTTACATTACCAATCGTTCTGATCAATAAAGGGTTATCATGGACCCGGTTATGGTGATATCTGTGAAGCTTTTGATTTTTTTCTGATCAATAATCTTTCGTCTTGAATCTTAATCTTACGAACATTTCTTTGAGTAAAAATGTTATTGATTTAATATCCTGTGTGGAATAAACCCCAATTGATTGGAGCATTCGTTATCAATCATCAATAGAAAACGGATTTCCCACCCAGAACGGATTCACTGTCTTCTCTCTCTCCAAAATAAGATTCGAAAGACTCTTCCATTTGATTGGATCTACACTACTAGAATTTCTTTTGAATATCTTGAAATTAAGTGAAGATTTTTTATTTGACTTCTTTTTTATGGGAGTCTTTGTCTTGGGAGAGCTTTTTTATCGTCCACAATTCGTAATAGGTTATTTATTTTCTGTTTATAATCTTGTAATGGGCGGAATTACTTTTGTAAGAAAATAGGAATTGTAATAGGCTACTTAGTGAAATCGTCCTAAAGTAAGTCCTACTGAATTTTTTTTATTTTAGAAGCCGAAATAATTCCAAGACCTATAAAACGAATGAAAATTGAGGAAGGCGCTGAAGATGTTGCTCTGCAACAAAAATCAGAAAAGCGAAGTTTATCTTCATCGGATGAAGACGATTTTCCGACTACGGAAGAGATCAACACCCTTTACTCCCTCATGGTAGGTTGGTAATAAATGCTTCTATTTTATTAGTAGTGTTAAAACATTCTGAATAGCATTTGCTTGTTCTAGTACCTAGCTAACAGTATGACTGCTAAACAACGTCGACAATATGAAGCAATACATAGAAAGGCATTCAATTACCTTATCTACAAGAAACAACACCCTGAAGAGACACTGAAGGATCCATTCTATGAAGTTGATCCAAGTATCTTTAAACGCCAACAAAGCACTAATTCTAATTCTGAGAGTGGTGGAAGGAAGGATAGTGCATCCGAGGGCTCTACTGGAAAAGAAAAAAATCCTAATGGTGATGAAAAAGAATGTCAAAAGTTGGAAAACGAGCAGAATCACCAGAGTCAACAACAACAACAGCAGCAGCAGAATCCGGAGGATGCTACTGTTGCAGATTTGCTCTCAGTGGCTGCGAATGATGCTGGATTGGGTGCTGACCAGTTGCCTGATGATGATTTCTCTCTATTCACTGATGATGATATATTTGCTCAGGTTCGTACTATTCTACTTCTGTTGTATTAGATTTGAAGTAATGGCGGTAATGAAGGCAGCCTTATTTAGTTTGTTTATATACTTTGTGCTAGTGGGTAATCCCTCTTGAAATGTAATGAATTCGGAAGTTCAAATGAGTCTCAATAGCTATTCCTTTTGCTTAAATTCAATTGGTAAAATGATTGTTTATCTATCTATAAAGCTATTGCAGGCTATACCAATCAGTCAAGGGACCCTATGGCCATGGTTGTGCGGATATGGTTTAGGGAAAGGGTAGGGAAATTCACTACTCTGATCGGAAGAATATGGTGTAGGTTCCACATCGAATCCATTGTCACTCTGATATTTTACCCTCCAGCAAACTTACTCTTATTGAAGTCAGAGCAACGGGAAAGTGGAAGCTGTGATTCATTGTTGTTCGTTACGCATAAATAATCGTAGGGCGATATCATCGCTGAATTTTCTGAAAATATTCTCCTATTGGTAATAACTTTTCACCTTTCACTGTCTTCGCTTGAATTCCATTTTAATTTAAATTCTATGTTTTGCAGGTAGGTGTGTTAGCATGGAGGACTATATTTTAGCAAGGTTCTTGTATACGCTTTTCCCCTAGTTCTCCTTAGCACTTAATGAATTCGAAGTTATTTTTGCAGTAATAGGGCTGGGAATATTTTTCCTTGCAGTTGCAGATTCTTTCAGAATAATTCACTGAGTTAGCTCTTCATCTTTAATTCCCTTCGTTTGAAGCCAACATAATTCTAGGTAAATCTTTTCTCGGCTTATTTTTTAGCTTAATGGCACTGGGGATGATCTGGATATTGCTCTCTTTCATAACCCTCCTGGATCCGCAAATGGTGGAGCTGAAGGTGGTTTGTCATCGAACAGTGCACCTGTAGTATCTGAACCAGATGCAACGTCGACGGAGAATGATATCCAGCATCAAGACTCCATCCTTCAAATGAAACAGGAGACAACGACTTCGACGTCGACGGGCCAACATCTGCAACAAGGTACTCATTGTGGCCCTGCTACCATGGCAAATACCCCTAGTTCAAATATACCAAATGAGGTTTCACAGAAACCCTCTGCACCTACAAAATACGTCAAGAGTCTGAAAGCGATATTGATCAAACCCCTGCCTCAACCGAAATGGCCGTTGCGGGAACTGAATAGCTCGATGAGTGCTAAACAGGCGAGGAGCAACTTTTGTGCTTTGATTAATTTTGACTATATTAATGTGTGACATTGTTATATTGATAACCAAACTCGTCTCTGGAATCATGGTAGACAGGCTCAAATTCCTTATGTACGCGCAAACATCATGACCAACCGTACCGGCTAACCCTTATTAATAAAGGAGATGATGGAAGTAGAGATTTTCATCAATGAGGCTTAAGGTTGCCTCCTTTCATCTGTATTTTGAGACTTAAGTGCAATTCTACTAAATTGCATTTCCAACACTGGCAGTTAGTAAATGGCCAAGGGATAGGTCGCGAATTGGGAGTTTTTTTGCCGTAGTGATTTCAGAACGACTGCTATAGATCGTTACCTTGAGAACCATTTTATCACTTTCGGTGATAACAAGGTTAGCATATATTGTTATTAAATCTATATTAGTTAGTTTAATCGCACTATTTTTGTCATTGGAGAAAAAAATCTTGTAAGCCTCTTCTATGAAACTCCGGCTTTAATAGTTGGGATTAAGAAAATGCAGCAGCTACTATAACATCACTCACTTGCCTTGATAGCTAAGCTTCAACTGCGAAAGCCTTCAAAATCACCAGGGATGAAGTTTTTAAAGACGAAGAGGTCCTATCCACAAATTGTGCTGTAGAGAAACTTCGGCTCCAGGATTGAAATTCATTCATATTATTCTGGGGATAAAATTTTTGCTTTAATTTGATTAAATAATGGCTATGAGTATAGATAATCCAGATCAGTGAAAGTAGGACAGGTAAACAGCCTGAATCGAATATTCTCACGTATTTTGTTTAACAGAATGACTTTTTGAAAATCTAGTTTCCCATTCTTACTCGACTTGTACATTTCCTTATAGCTGTTTATTCAAATAGCTTGCTCTAAGTATGTCTGTTGCCGTTGGAGGTCTTGCTAACGCAGTTACTTTTATTCACAGATAATTGATTCAGTGTCAGGCCTCGGACGTCTGGATGGTCCCTGGTGGAATAGCCTTCTACCCGAGACTGATGCTCTACCATCTCCGCCCGACAGCCCCAGTCCTCCCTGTCCAATGGACAAACTACTTCCCCCGACACCGTGTATCTGCGTGGATAAACGCAAGGACGCAATGTCTGCTGACCTGGCCAAGTTCTGTCTTACTCAGCCTGTTGTGGTTATTCGCGGTATGACGAATGCTCTCAGAATGGACCTGGCTTTCTTTTCGACCAAAGCTCTTGTTGATGCGAATCCTAATCAGCGGGTTAAGGTAAGTCGAATATATCTTGATGCTCCCTCATCTATCCTAACTGAATGTGGATGAGATGATGGCAGTTGCTGCAATTATGGTATAATTTAAAGGGTTTATAGTCGCTTTTTACTTCATTATTCAGGTTAATAGAACTTTACGTAGAGTCAAACTCCTTACAGCGTCTTTCCAGAAAAGTGATAAGGATACCCAATATCTTCCTCACTGAATTCTGGGAGCTTCGTCGGCCTATCTTAAATTAAGAAGACTAAGCTCTCAGTTGTCTACGAACCCATCCACTCAGTCCTGTTTTTTGAGCTATAAGAACTGGAGACAAAATCCACACCAAATCATAGTTATGGCAAAGTAATAAAAGGGAGTCTATTTCTATTGTGCACTCCTACAGCCGAGTTTTAGCAACTTAGACTTGTACTTGCGCAGCTCCTTCTAGCCAACCAGCGTTTACATGAACTAGAAGGAAAATCGCCACATGCTGAAGATGACATAACAAGAGCTTGTTTTGAAACCTTAGAGCTTATAAATTCCTCTTCCTGAAACTTCTGAGTCTAGATTAGGAAGGTTTCCTACAAGAGTGTGGAAATGCTATCTTGCTGATTGCTTGCGAGTATTAGTGGAAAAGAAGTGAATGCTGCACTCTGATTCGTATTCAATGAAGTTACTCTAGGTGTTCTATAAAAGATTGTTTTCTAGGGAGAATGCAACTCTAATCCCTGATGCCAATAGTTATTGATCGTCCTAAATTTGAGTCATTAAAACTGTACAACCACAATTTCGACTCTTGTAAAGGAGCAATATTAGTAATTCTGTACCTGTTCTCTTGGTAGATCCATACACAATCACCAAATGCAAATGGCACCAAAACTAAATTACCTGATGCTCCCAGTCCTACGGAGGCGAATTTGGCTGAGTTGAGCCCCTGGTATTTAGAATCACCACGTTCTCTAAGCACTATCCAGAGATATGCGAATTACCAAGCATCTTCGTTCAAGGTCGCTGTGAAGGATGAGAAGCAAGGTGAAAAGTAAGTTGGATGTTCTTTTTTCTTAACTACGTTCTTGATTCATATCTGATAGTAATCGAATAGTTAAGGAGGGCCTTATTGATGTTCTGAGTCATTTAATATTCTATTAGATCTACTGCTTCTAGGATGTTACCAAATTTAAAATCTGAGATGGTTCAACGCTAAAAAACAATTGTTCAATTACTAGCACCATTGTATTCCAAAGAATGAAGACTAAAACCTTCCTGAATACTTCCATTCAAGTAGGGTGAAATAAGGACTGTGCTTTGGAGACCTACTGTCCATAGATTTAAATCTAAACAAAGGAGAGTTTCTTGAACGCACTGTGTTCTAGATTTAAGACTGGAAACAAAGTTCTTGTCAAATCAGTAGATGGACAAAAATGTGTTGTTACACTTATAATTTCTTGAGCGGAATCAGATTCTTGTATTCAATTACTAATTTG